GTCCAGGGCTGCCCGGAGCTCCGCATCCTGCAGCGGCCCCGCAGCCTCGGGCCTGGGGGCTGCCTGGAAAGGAAAGGGCAGGGGGACACTGAGTTCGGCATTTGATGGAACACACACGGACTCTGCTGCCAAACAGCACCTGGTGGATGCCTGACAGGGTCTCAGCCCACTGCTGGAAGCCCAGCGCCCACCTCCCAGGGCTCACACCCGCACACATCCATTCATCATCCATCATCCATCCATCCATCCATCCATCCATCCATCGCTGTCCCTGCTGGTGGCTGCTGCAGGACACACATCCTGGAGGGAATGCTGCGAGTCACCCTTGGGTGCCTGAAAACGCCACACTGTGGGGCAAAAACCTTCTCTACGGCCAGGTACTGAGGTAAAACCTTTCCTCACGGCCAAGCTCTGGAGCAAAACACTTCCCTGGCCAACGCCAGCTCCCTCGGGGAGCGAGCAGAGCAGATCAGCAGCTCGGCCCGGGGAAGCTGCGCCCCTTTGGGCACATCCCTCTCCTGGCTGGGGTGATGGGGAGAGGGGCCGGCTGGACCCCGGGACCCCGACAGCCCCCAGGAGACACCACCCGCACACCCCAGGCGCCCCTTCCCCTCTCCCCCCGCACAACCCCGGCGGCTCGGGCCGTTCCTCCCTCAGCCCCGACGGCTCCGCCCGCCCCGCGGGCCCGGGGGCGGAGGGGCCCGGCCGGGGAGGGGTCGAGGCCGGAGCCCCCCGGGTGGGTGCCGAGGGAGCTCTGGGCCCCCTGAGGGCCCTCCGGTCCCCCTCACCAGCCCCAGCGCGGCGGGCGGCACCAGCGCGGTGCTGAGCGTGTGCCAGGCGGCCGAGAGCTCCATGCGGGCCGGGCCGGGCCGCAGGAAGGGGCGGAGCGGCGATGAGCGGGGCCGGGGCCGGGGCCGCGCTGCGGGGGCAGCGCCGGGCGCTGCGGAAGGGTGAGCGGGGCCGGGGCCAGGCGGGGCAGGGCCGGGGGCCGGGCCGGGCCCGTGTGACGGTCGGTGCCGCCCCGCAGGGCTGTCGGAGCTCCGCGCCCGGCGGGACGAGCTGAGCGGGCGGATCCGGGCGGAGGAGGCGGAGCGGGCCCGGCTGCAGGCGCGGATGGCGGCGCTGGCCCGGCGCTTGGCCGACACCAGCGAGAGCCTGGCGGGGCTCCGGGCAGCCCGCGCCAACATCGACCGCACCATCGCCGAGACCGAGGCGGCCTCCGGGCAGGTACGGAGGGGCAGCACGGCGGGGTGTGCCGGGGCCGGGCAGAGACCCCGCTGAGGGATAACATCCTCCGGAGAAGCGGAGGGACGGCACCGATCTCTGCTCTCCGCAACCCGAGGGGATCGTGGAATCCAGAATCACAGAATATGCCCAGCTGGAAGGGACCCACAGGGATCATCCAGTCCAACCCCTGGCCCTGCACAGACACCCCAACAATCCCACCCTGTCCCTCACAGCGTTGTCCAAACCCTCCTGGAGCTCTGGCAGCCTTGGGGCTGTGCCCACTGCCCTGGGGAGCCTGGGCAGTATCCAAACAACCTTTGGGGGAAGAACCTTCTCCTAATATCCAACCTAATGTTGTGTCAGGGGAGGTTTAGGCCCCAAGGCTGCCAGAGCTCAATGAGCATGGGGACAGCGCTCCTGAGGGACAGGGTGGGATTGTTGGGGTGTCTGTGCAGGGCCAGGACTCGATGGTCCCTGTGGGTCCCTTCCAGCTCAGGGTGTTCTGTGATCCTGTGAACTCAGGAGCTGCTTTTGTCTGAAGGTCTGTCTGCAGCACCTCGATGAATCAACTGCCTCAGCTGCTGCTTGGGACATGCACACACACCCTGGTCACAAGGGGGTTGAGTTGGATTGGGATTAGTTTTGGTGTTGTTTGTGGGCAAATCTTATTGTTGTAACACGTCAAAGTGGTCCTTGAAACAGACCCCTAAAAGCAACCCTCTCACACCCATCGTTTGGGGAAAAGGAGGAAACCAGAGGCAGGGCACTGACCCAGAAGCCTATGAATTCATGCAGGTAACAACAGTGCTGATGGAGCTGTTGCCCTGACACTCTTTCTGCCCAACATTTAGTGTAGTTTCTTTCATCTTTAATATAATAACGTCATTAAGAGTCAAAATGTTGGGGCAGTAGAGGGTGGGAAGGAGCAAACTGTGGACTGGTGCTGTCATTTCAGCTCCTGGGACAGCTCTACCCTTTCACTGTTTGTGGACTTGTAAACTGCCAGGCAGGGGTTGCCTGATCCCACATGAAGGATCACAGCTGAAGTCACTTCTACATTACACACCCACCAGCTTTTTATTTTTAGAAAAGGATCTTTCCAGACTACTTGCAGATAAGTAGCAATTTTCCTTCTGTTGGTGACAGGGCAGTTTGGGCCAGAAGGAAACCCCTATTAGCTGCTGTCTTCTCCTTCTCCCATTTGCTTTTTGAACGTTATCAACTACTCTGTGTCAGCTCCTCTTCCTCTCCCAAAGTCAGTACTTTTCCATGACAGTTATTTTTCAGGTGAGGCTGGAGCTGTTTCCTCAGCCTGCTTCAAGACCTGATGGTTTGAAGTGAAGGGGGAAACTCACATAAAAAATTAACAGCTTAAAAATTGCATTGTAAAGGTACACAAACAGCCCCTTTGAAAAGAAACCTTACCAGAGATCCCAGTCACACCCCCAGCCTACAAATGAATTCCTGTTTATTGAAAGGAACTCACAGGAGGTATAAAGAGGTGGTGAGGAGGAGATGCAGGTGTCCTACAAACAGAAACCAGTAACAGAGTTCCTGTCCTGGGGATGTACAGCACTGGTTTGTGATCACTCCTTGCTTTTCTCAGTCCCCACAGGACTCCACCTTCCTCCAGGATGGCAAGACCCCATGAGCACCTCGTCCTGCTGGGCACTTCCCTTTGGCTCCTCTCTGACCACTTAGTGATTTCCACAAACTCACAGAACATAAAATGATCTTTGGGACTCCCAGCTATCACATTTTGTTACAATTGTCCACCATGTTAAAATTTTGCACTGGTGAGATGGACAGGCAGCCAGGTCTCCTAAACCTCTTGTGGCCCAGAGCACAGTAAGCAGGGATGTTAGATTATGTGCACTGTAAGATAAAAATAGGAGAAAATTAATAAAAGATTTAGTCTAACTTAAGGTCACTGTAGAGTTGAGTTCTGGCTTGAAGCCAGAAGCCCAAAATGTGCAGTTTTAACAGCAGAATAGAGCTGAAACTGTGTCACCTGAACACAATACTGATCTAAAAAGCCCAGGGATCAACATCTCCCTTAACAAGACCCAACCAACCAACCAAAAAAAAACCCAAACCAACCAAAAAAACCCCAGAAGTTCAACCTAGTCTGCTTTGGGAAGTTCTATGCCTTGTGCTCCAAGACAGATAAATTGCTTCAGGTGTTTTGTATTCAGAATATGGGCACAAACCAGAGAAATTCCCCCACAGACATTCCTGCAGGAACATTACAGGATGATACATCACCAGGAATTAGGGACTGTAGGGGCTGGAGAACTCCTCTTGCTGCAAGGCAGGTCAGCTGAACTTGAAGGGAACTCATAAGAGAAACAGGTTATGTAAAAATAAGCTATTTTTATTTCTTTCCCAGGTACTGGACAATTCTCAGACATTGCTAGATATCCTGAAGGAAGAAAGTGGGAATGATGTAAAGCCAGTGAGCCACAAAGCAGTTCATTAGGACAACAAGCACATCCACAAAAGCGTTCCTAAACTTGATTTTCAGCCTGGGAAGTCCTGCTGGTCTGGGACAGCTGCTGTTCTGGTACAAGGACACCACATTTAATAAAAGCCTTTGTTTTGCAGAAGTAAATTTTCCTTTCAGATGTGCTTTGGTATTAGAGATCCACTAAAGCTGATCCTCAAGTGTTAGAGATGAGGGTAGGCATGTACAAAAAAAAATACCCTTTATTTTGAGCACAGTGATCCTGAAGCTGCTTCTGCCCTCAGAACAGCACTCACCTTGCCCTGCCAGGAGTGAGCTCAGGGTACCTGGCACAGACAGGGATCAGAGCAGAGCTGGGGTGAGGTAGGAAGGAGCAGAGGAGCCAGCAGCACACAGGGCAGCACGTGCTGCATCCCCCACCTCCTGAGCCTGTCCTGCCCACGGGGCTGCAGGCACTGAATTAACTCAGAGGACAGCACACCGAGTGCCAGAGCAGTGTTTCAGCTGGCTGAGGTCAGGGGAACAAGCTGCAGGATATTGTTGGCTTTAGCATTCCTCGTTGATCCAAAGCAGAACGAAGTCAGGACTAGTTCAGACACCTTGTCCCCAACTTGAGCTGAAAGCAGCTTTTGCCTTACCACCTGCAGTTTTGCTAAGCTGTGACTCTACAAACAGAGCTGCCTTAAACTGACCTGGGCTTTTCCACAGGGAAGGATGCTCACTGGGACCTTTCCTGCTAAAAAAGCTGCGAAAAAACTTTTCTTCAAACACAGTCCCTGGTCTTTGGCTGTGGGCAGTGTTTAACTCCACACAGCTGAGAACTTACCCCTTAAATTTTCCTTGCATTTTCCCTCATTCTACCCCAGTCTCAGCACCTTGTCCTGAAGTATTTCATTAAGAGAAGCCTTAACACATGGAATTCCACAGTACCTGTGTCATGTCCCAGGCAGGTGCACTGCAGACACGTCCTGCTCCTGGGAGGTCACGCAGGGAGCAGGTCTTGAGTTGGCCTGGACAGGACAAGGAGATGCCAAGTGTTCCTTTGTGGCCCCTCCAGCCGACATCTAACAAACTACTGAGTATCTCATCTTTTTCTGTGTGTGTGTTCTCTTTCCAGAAGTATTTAGGCACAGAAGGGAACAGCTACAAGTAGGTATGTACTAACATTTAATCCTGACTGTGTTTTTCAGCAGAACCACCTTCCCCTGCTGCTACAATACACACCAAACCCAGTGCAAGGTATGCAGAGCATTTTCAGTTCACAGACCTCGAGCAGATATCCGTCATCTCTGTATAACAGACAAACCAATAAACATATCAAATTTAATCAAAGATTCCAGCCTGTTCCTTTGGACAGAGCCCCACGCTGGGGTACCACTCATTCCATAAAGCCCAAAGAGGCCAGATCTTTTCCAACTGCATCTCTTTTAATCCCAAAGTACAAATCACATTAGCAGCAGTGTTCTATCTGTTCCAGAGTGCAATTTTGACCCTGAGTTTACAGTAGTAGAAAATGTAAATGGAAGATTCTAGCAGATTCCTTTGCATATTGGCTGCATTAAACAATTACAATAGAACTATAAAAATCCTAGAAAAAAAAACAAAACAAAAAAAACCACATTCCTTGTTCAAGTTCTGCAGAAGAAAGGAGTGAAAGTGCCCTCCTGTGCTTTGATTAGAGGAGCAGAGCGAGCGTGGTTCAAAGGAATCCTCCCCACAAACCAAGACAGATCAGTCAGATCTGGAACAGAGCAACAAGAGGAACTGGCAAACTGGAGCACAACCAGCAATTCCTAGAGACTGGATGCCAAAATTGGGTATGGACAGAGCAAAGCTATGGCCAATGTTTGGGAATTTTCAAGAGGCTCGAGCCAGTCTGGACACCTGGTTACAGATTGGTGCAAAAATGACACCTAAAGCTAAAGGCATTCATTCCTCTCCCCTCCCTCACAGGGTGTTCACGTAACTGGCACATTAATTCCATGATGGTTCAGTGAAACCAGTCCCAGAAACATGCCAAGAACAAACCATGACCCTTCAATGGTTTTCCAAACTGACACCTTATCTGTCAAATCACAGCCACGCTGTGAAACCAGCTCAGATGCTCCCAGTGCTCCAACTCCAGAGCCATTCTCCACTGAGACCTCTGATGGGAAAAGTGTTACAAAAGCTGTCCAGACCCCACAGAGTGCCTGGGCTCAGATAAGCACCGAGAGAATCGACATCCATCCCGGGATTACAGCTCTGCCCTTCACGCACTTGCCTAATCAGCAGCTGATCTTGAACAAGGAATGTGCAAGGCCACAGGCAGAATAAATCATACGCCTCAAAAGTAGCAATTAGGTCCCAAAATCCAGTGCAAATATTCTCCGAAGATGCCCGACAGCATCTGGTCCCCCCTTGGCATCAGGATCCAGCGCACGGCGGGGCGGGAGGGCGGCAGGCGCCGGCCGGGGCAGGGGCAGGGGCAGGTGCACTGACACGTCCTGCCCAGCAGCTGCTGCTGCAGCACCGGGGATGAATCCGTCAGAAATAGAGCGCGGGCTCGCTGCTGAAATCCGAGAGCCCGCCCTTCTCTGCCGGGGTGAGCTGTGGAGAGAGAGGAGGGCTCATCAAATCAGAGCAAACCAGCACCCACACCTCTGCACTGGCACCTTGCCCAGGGCATCAATTCCCCCCTCCAAATGTGCCCTGGATTATCACAGAATCCCACAATAGTTTGGATTGGAAGGACCCTTAAAGCCATGGGCAGGGACACCTTCCACTAGCCCTGGTTGCTCCAAGCCCAGTCCAACCTGGCCTTGGACACTTGCAGGGATGGGGCAGCCACAGCTTCTCTGGGCAACCTGTGCCAGGGCCTCCCCACCCTCACAGGGAAGAATTTCTTCCTAAAATCTAATCTAAATCTCTTCTCTTTTAGTTTAAAACCCTTTCCCCCTTGTTCTATCACCCACCCATGTAAAAAGTCCATCTCCCTGTTTTTTACAAGCCCCTTTAGGCACTGGAAGGGGCTCTCAGGTCTCCCTGGAGCCTTCTGATTTCCAGATGAACACCCCCAGCTCTCCCTGCCTGGCTCCAGAGCAGAGGGGCTCCTGCCCTTGGAGCAGCTCTGTGGCCTCCTCTGGACTTATTCCAACAAGTCCATGTTTTTCCTGTGCTGAGCACAGAGTGTGCAGCTGCCTTAAGTCTCGTTCACACAGAGAGACAGGTCTGTTCGTGGCAGTGGGACCGTGTGTTGGTCCCTTTGGGAGCAGTGACACACCTCCCTGCACAGTGAACACAAAGGCACATCCATCCCATCCACTGCCCAGAACAACCCCAGCACCACAGAACAGCACAGCAAGACTTCCTTATCTAAAGCCTCACCATGTCTTGGTTCCCATGGGAATCAGCTTCCTTTGGGAGGGGTCCCTCTGCAGCAGGACCCTCATACTTCTGCTCCTGCCACTCGCTGAACTTCACGGAGTGCTTTGGGGTGTAGCTGGATAAATCTGCTGGAAGGAGAAAGCTGGTGTAAATATTCCTCAGCACCCCAAAAGGAAGTGGGGCCAGGATCCCGGCAGGGACAGCATGGAAGCTGCCCAGCTGCAGTTCCCTGGTCACCTCCATTAGCATTTCCACCCCCATGGAGCCCCATAAGGGTCTGTAGGAAACATGGTCAGTGTCAGACACCACCAGAAACCCCACAGTGCCAACACAGGGCCTCACTCACCTGAGTTGGGTGTACTGGGATGCAAAGTGCCATTTGGGCGTGGAACGTAGAAAGGGCAAGATTTTTCCTCCTCTGTTTCCGAAGCGTGGCCTTCCTCCTCCTCCTCCTCTTCTGCCAGGGAGCTCTCTGAGGGGTACTCAAACATAGTCTGCAAACTCGTCTCATTGAAGGAGATCTTCATCTAGACAACAGCAAAGGAGGATTGTCAGAGAGCAGCACAAGAACCCACTGATCTCAATGCTGACTCTGGCACAGGCCACTGCACCCCAGGGCTGCACCCTGGTTTATAGGAATGACTGAATATCTCCCCCATCCCTTCCCACGTGCCTTGGTGGGTGTCTTGCCATGCTGACAGAGAGCCAAATGGATGGGATGGAGGCAGGAGGCTGAGGGGTCCAGACCACCTCTGGCTTTTTGCCCTTCACCATCATCTCACTGATGCCCAGTACCCAGGAGGAGCTGCCAGCGTCTCTCTCGAGATCAATGTTGCCAAGCAGGAAAGGAAAACATCCACATGTTGGAAAGGTGACATTGCTAATGCCTGACAACTCATTTGTGTGCCCAGACTACAGAAATATGGGTGATCAGGACTCCAGTCTTAGGAGGACATCCTGCCCAAGAGTTATTTAAGCTACATAAAACAGGGCTTAATACCAGAAGTGAGAAGGTGGAAACAGCTAAAGGAGAGATGGTAATAAGTGGTAGCAGAGAAAGGAAAATACTGGACAAGGTTCTGGTTTGAAACCAGTTTTATTCAGTATTCTCACTAATGACCTTTTCACAGTAACTGGGAGAATGAAGGTGAATGAATGAAGGAGGAATTGAGGAATGAAGGTGACTCAAACATCAAAGGAAAACCAGAAATTTATGGGTTATGAAGAAAACTAGAGAGCAAGAACACTAGAAATGGAATGGTGTTTAAGACCAACCCTTGCTCTAAGTTCATCACCTGTGAATAACAGGAAGAAAATTTTGGATTGGCTACAGGATTGTAATCACCATTAGGATACTGCTTAAAGCAGGAATGAAGCAAAGCATTTCTGCTGGAAATAGGGACTGCCTGGCTCCATCCTGCCTGTAACACCCAGCAGGTGGTGAAAATAACTCCAGATATGCTCTTCCAAGTTGAAAAGAAAAGCTGAGGGAAGGGTTTGCTCCCCTGCAGCCTGTCCTGTCCTAATCATTATCTACCGTTGTGCTCGGAGGATCTGGTTACAGGTCACCTCAACAGGTGCAGAGGAGATTCACTGGCAAAAACTTCCCACCAGCACAAGTGCAGGTTGAGAAAAAGCATCACAGCTCTTTAAGAACACCAGAAAATAACCCCCAAGGAGCAGAGAGCTGCTGATGCCAGCACACAGCAGACAAACAAGGAGGAATTGCCAGGAATAGATTTATGCCAGAAGTAGGGAAGTATCCAGCCAACAGGGATCAAGGTTCAGGAGCAGCTGTCTAAGAGGGTGTTGTGATCCCTCTACTTCTAAATACAATTAAAACCCAGACAATAAGGTTATAAACAGAATTAAAAGGACGTGGGAGCTTGTGACAGGCGGCAGGAGCTGCATGGATCTCTCTAGATGCCGTCTAACGACTGGCAAGGAGCAAGTGCAGCACATTTATTACCTCCCGTGCCATATTTGCAGTTACACTCACACCCAAACTCCCCCACGGGCTGGGAAGTGGCACCTGGCCCCAGGCAGCTCTCAAGCACCACATGTGCTGCCCAGGTGCACCTATTCCCTGGAATAGCTGTCTCTGCGTGTCCAGTGGCCAGAGCACTGCTGGGGGCTGCTGAAGTCCTCGGGGGTCAGAGCTGCCAGTGGGCCACAGTGCCCCTGTGCTGCCTATGGAGCCTGGGAAATATGGGGGACCAGGGTCTGCAGGGCCAGACAGGGAGCATTTCACTGCTGCTTTTCAGCAAAACAGCAAGAGGAGTTTAACTCGAATCTGGGTAACAGAGTGAGCACCTGCACCTCCTCCACACTGCAGATGCACACGTGGGGTGCCACTGCACCCCAGCACGGGATGTACCTTGGACACACTCCCAGGATGGAAACAGCACAGAGGGCAACCAGCTGCTCTTCCCCATTCCCTGCCCCAGAGCCACTCTGACCTTCTCCAGATGACACATGGGGAGAACAGTGATTATACTTCAGAGAAGAGGGGTTGGAATAAAATGGTCCTGAAGATTAGAACATCCCAGTTGCTGTTCCCTGAGTTTCCCATCCCTGCTGCTGACCTAGATGCTCCCTGATCCGAGCCAGGCTGTGACTGCTCACAATGTGGTGTCTGTACTGGGGACGAGCCACACTGCCAGGCACGAAGGCCAGAGAGTGGAGGTGCCCAGAGCTCCTGGAAGCTCAGGAGCTATCCCAGAACCAGGCACTGCACACAGGCTGCTTACCAGTGCTGGCAACTGCACTGAAGGGCAAGAACTACTTGGCTAAACGTGGAAAACAAAGGAGACGGGAGAGATATGCCTTGGATTTAGAATTTAAGCTTGGGAGATGGAACTAAGTGTTCCTGGTTTTCTGTTATCTGGAGGAAATCTATGAGAAAAATTACTTTGAGTCCAGTTTGGACCAAAGGTGAGTGTAGTGCTGGAGGAGGAAACAGCCTCACCAGGGAGCAAAACCAAAGAGCAGAACGCAGCAGAAGTGACCCAGAAATACGACCTTGCCCACGCAGTGCCCAGAGGCAACACCCCAACAGCCCTAAACTCACACAGCTCCCACTTCCCACAGCCAGTTCATCTGAGGCCACTCTCGCTCCCGGAGCAGGGCTGGGTGTCCTGCTGGAGTCTCCAGGCACCTGTGCAGGAGGCAGTGCTGGAGCCATTCACACAGAGCAATCATTAACCACAGCAGTGCAGCCCCACACGCCCAGGGACAGCTGGGGACAGCTCAGGACAAGACAACCTGCTGCCCCAGCAGCACACGCCGAAGTTCACACCAGCCAGTCGTGCGTGGCACGGCTGCACCACGGCACAACCCCCCAGAAACCACACCGGGGGGTGTCCCACCCTCTGCACCCACAGCCTGCTCCCGAGCACCAGCAGAGCCCCACAGAGCTGCAATAAAGCTCTGGACACACCCAGGCAGAGCAAACACAAGGAACAACCCAGAGCTGGCCCAGGGAAGGAGTGCAGGGAGCTCAGTCAGCCCTGCCGGTGCAGGGAGAGAGCACTAAAACAGAGCAGTGAACGTGCCCAGCTGCCCTTCCCAAGCATGACGTGCTTTCGGGGAAGCACAACCCAAGCTTGACCCAAAAGACGACGGAGGGTGACGTGCTCAGGCAAAACCAGGGGACACAGGGGCAGAGCTGCCTGAAGAAACAGAGCAGCTACAGAGCAGAACTGAGCACTGTGTGGGGAACACAGGCAGCTTCAGTCCCAGGAACCATCTAAATAGGAAAATCAAGAGCCCAGCAATGGCATAGACACCAGGTTTGCACAGCCAGCAGCCCCTTGCCAGACCACTGAGGCTTTTATGGGAACACAAAAGGCAAGAGGGGACGTTTCTTTAGAAGAAAAGCGTCTCCCAGCAGAGCCAAGCATGCTGGAGCCCGGCCAGAGGGCTCTGCTCAACGTGTCTCAGCACTGGTTTCCCCATTTCTGCCCCAGCAGCAGCTGCCAGTTGTGGCAAGGAAGAATTTTGCACCCTTCAGCTGTGGATGTTTGCAGGGATTTGTCACTCTTCACTCAGCTGAAGGCTTCACCCACAACTGTGTCACAAACCAACCCATATATCTATATATTAATACTCTGCCCAGCAATCAGAGACATGCTGGGAAGAGCAAAGCAGGCTTTTCAGGGGATATTGTGCTGCTCAGCCAACAGATTCTTGTTGCCATAGCAAGAATCATTTATTTATTTGCTAGGATTTGAACAGTAATGAGTAATAAAAGAGAGGCAGGAAAAAGAAGGCAGGGTAAACATTGCCCAACGTGCGTAAATCTGAGTAGTCATACAAGGCTCATTTAGAAAAGAAAACAAAAGTCAACCTTCTTTCAGGGCAGGCTGCTTCCAGACCAACCACCAGAGAGGCCTCATGGACAGAGACTTATCAGAAATAAAAATAAGCAATTTATAGAGCCCAACCTATGACATAAGCAATGACAGCCAGCAGATACCTCACCTCCAAAAGGGAGGTGGGAAAGTCTGCAAGGCAGTTTTAATGACAGAACAAACACCCCATGGCTTCTCACACCAGGGATCTCTCTGGAAGTCTCCTGGGGTTAATCTGCATCCTCAGCTCCGGAAGCAATCTCTTTAGTGTGGCTTTTCTCTTCTACATCCATTATCACATTTGCTTCTTGGCTGATGAGGCAAAGCCCAAATGATTATGTAGGGTGTTTGCACCTTTTAAATAGGAACTTCTTTGCAATCCAAATCCTCACCTTGTAAGAGCCAGAAAAAAATAAATGTTCTAGGCATTAAGAGAGACCAACAAAATCACCCTGTAACTCTATTCCAGCAGGGAGAGTCAGAGTCAGCATATTGCTGACATCCCACAGCACCCAACCCACCAAGTGCTTCACCAGATCCAAACAGCTGAGCAGCACCAGGGATCAAGATTCTTCTTTTCAGGTACTAATTTTCCTCAGATCATCCTCTCTCCTCAAGCAACATAATTCCCAAGTGACAAACCCCGGTACTGCTCTGACCCCCCAGGACATGTGTGGGCTGCCAAGTGCTGCTGGGTGTGATTTAAAGCAGCTTTTCACACCTGGTCAATCCAATGCCTCCTCCTCTCTCAGCATTTGCACAGAGGGAGGGAGGACCATTCAGCATGAGTGAATCTCAGAGATCAAGCATGAACAAAGTGAGTGTTTGGGAGAACCTTGTGTTCCTGTGCAGTCTTACACTGAGCTCATTTGCTGCTGCACTGGTTGTCTAAAGATTGGGTGGACAGCACGAAAGCACAAGGACATCCCACCTGACACCTGGAACTGCAGCAGCCAGCTGGGGGAAGCCTGTACACACAGAGCATCCCTGGGAGGTTTGCAAACAGCCCCCTGGGCTGGGCAGGAAAACTGCTCAAAGAGCAAACCCATTGGGTTGGTTGATAGAGGCTCTGCCCCCGGGACTGCAGGGAGCTTCTAAACCCAGAACTCAGGACCCTTCTAAACACAGAACAACCTCCCAGCTGCCATGGGGTGAGAGGGAAGGTCTCTGCACAG